TATTACACTTTGAATTCAATAAATTTGCAGCAATAAAGGTATGCAGAGGACCAAGGGGGGCGGGATAAAGGGCGTACAAAGAAACTAGGACATGTTAAAAAGTGGAACAATAGAAGCCCTGCCAAATTAGGTCAGCTGAAGAATATGCACTTATCTTAGGGTATTGTCAGAATCTTTGCCCCATTTCTTCATCAGTTCTAGTTCACTGCAAATATCTGTGCCACTTTCTACACAACAATAATTAATATATCTCTCTAAGGCCCCTTCTACACAGCCATATAATCCAAATTCCAACAATCCACATTATCTGCTTTGAACTAAATTATATGAGTCTACACTACTACAGAATCCAGTTCAAAGCAGATAGTCTGGATTTTATATGACAGTGTACAAAGGGCTTAAGTGTGAGGAACCTCTCTGGGAGCTTGAGTATTTCTTTTCTGCTCCTTTAGCCAATGAGAAAATATTGGATCTGGATAAATAAAGTCTGTAAGTGCTTTGAATGCAAATTTCATTCTTACATGCATGAATACATAATTTGAGGAATGTTATCCATACCCCACAAGAATATGAGTTTTTCAGAATCTTGCAGAGCTATTCATACTTCAGGACCTTGCTGTGAAAACTGCATTTGATCAAAAATGCACATAGCATCATTGTGCTGAAACACAGTATTTTTACACTGGGATAGCAAAAAGGAGTGAGCAAAAAAAATACTGTAGAATAAACATTTTATGTGCTGCCCAAACCACATTTTTCTGTATAGAAAAAAAAACCACATGCATTTTGCACAATTAAATACATCTCCGAGTACAAAGAATCTTCTGGCTGTTCTTTTTAATGATATTCTGAATATCAAAATACACTTTTCCATTGAGGTTGTGAATATTATTTACTATTTTTGAATTGTAAGTAAACACAGGCACTTTGTAATAAAAGATGGGCAAAGTATGGGTTCAGGAAAATCCTTTCTGAACAGGAAGTGCATCAAAAGTGAGTTTTAGGTCACTTTGTGGTGGAAAAGTCTTCTTCCGGACCTAAAACAATCCAACAGGCAATGATCCAAATGCCTGCATGTCTCCCATAGGGTGTTTAGGGGCAAAAATATTCTTTCATACACTTTTACAGAAAACATCTGTTACTAAGGAGTCTAAAAGTGCAACAAGCCAATTTAAAAATCAGTAATGAAATTTTATTATCCACAATGTTCCAGTTACTCTACAAAAAAAGCAACAGAATGCTGTCATCTTCTACAACAGTGGTAGTCCAACTGTATTATCAAGAATCTAGGAGCTTCCTGAGAAATTAATAGGGATTGATCAACTCCTAAAAAGACATTTGTCCACCACTACTTATCTTCATCTGAACCATGCAGCAGCTGGAAACTATTGCTGTTTTCTAACATGTAATGATAACAAAGGCCCACCAAACCTGGCCAGCATTCTGTATCAACCAGCTGTGCCCTTTAGAATGCTTTCCAGCATCTTCTGTAAAAACAAACTAAATGCAGCTGAATATATATCTGCGGTAATCATGGGGTGGGAATCTCAGGTAAGAAGCAAAAAAGAAAGCAATTGGTGGTAAATGCAGAATAGTTTTTTCCCATTTCTAATACTGAATTGCAACTGAGGGGCTAGAAACTGGATAGTTGGGCAGGAAAAAAGAATTTTATATTCCTCATTTCCATGCCTATTTTACTTCTTAAAATAAACTGGCCAATGATGTGATGTGGCACCAAAAAAAGCCAATGGGATTTTGACCTGCATCAATAGGAGTATAGTGTCTAGGTCCAGGGAAGTCATGCCACCCCTCTATTCTGCCTTGGTCAGACCACACCTGGAATAGTGTGTCCAATTCTGGGTACCACAATTCAAGAGAGATATTGACAAGCTGGAAAGTGTCCAGAGGAGGCTGATTAAAATGATCAAGGGTCTGGAGAACAATCCCTGTGAGGAGTGGCTTAAAGAGCTGGGTATGTTTACCCTGAAGAAGAGAAAGCTTAGAGGAGACATGATAGCCATGTATAAATAAGTGAGGGGAAGTCATAGGGAGGAGGGAGGGAGCTTGTTTTCTGGTGCCCTGGAGACTAGGACACGGAACAATGGCTTCAAACTACAAGAAAGGAGATTCCATCTGAACATTAGGAAGAACTTCCTGACTGTGAGAGCCGTTCAGCAGTGGAACTCTCTGCCCCAGAGTGAGGTGGAGGCTCCTTCTTTGGAAGCTTTTAAACAGAGGCTGGATGACCATCTGTCCAGGATGCTTTGAATGCAATATTCCTGCTTCTTGGCAGGGGGTTGGACTGGATGGCCCATGAGGTCTCTTCCAATTCTATGATTCTATGATTCTATGTCCAAAATTCCTACTCTTCTTATTGCTGTGGCAAATTCAGGGCTTAAAGTATATCGATCCAGTATGTTGACTCTTGTTTGGTCCTAACCGATGGGGTTCTGCTGCAAATCTTCAGGAAATTTTCAACAGTTAAGCAATATAGAAATATTTTTGACAGACAGAAAACAGGCAAACCCCTTATCTTTAGACTCATAGAGACTTAAAGCTATGAAGATATTTCAAGGAAGCTGGATCCAACATACATGGGCAAGATTTAAGGGGGCAGCATGCTGAATCGCTAAAAGGGGGATTTACAAGATAGTTGTGGAGTCTCACACCAGATTAGGAAACAAATATGGTATGAATCCTTTCCACTCCTGAATGCTTTGATTTTGGCATGCACAGTGTAAGCCACATGAGCACACATAGACAAATATCAGGATTAGAGTTTGAAGAAAAGTACTTTTGGGGGGATTATAACACCCCAGAGGCCTGTGGAATATGCTCTCCAGAGAAATTAGGTTAAATCCATCCCTCTTTTCCTTTAGGAAGAAGATCAAATCATGGTTTTGGGACCAGACATTCATGTAACAGACTTGACAGCATTTGCAATGTTTTGAGAACTTATTATGGACAGGCTTTGGACTGGGTCGTTGGTCGCTGAATTGAACTCGGATAGGGCTATATGGTTGATAATGTTTTAAATGCATT